CTGCAGTTGAGATTCGATAGTCGCTCTATGACGTTGTAATCTTTCTGCTTTTGTGCCCTGTATATCTAGCAACTCAATTTGCAATTGTCGATTTTCTTCTTCCAAGTGCATTATGATACTTTGCAATTCTTTTTGTGGATCAGTTAGAATTTTTCGTTTAACTGTGCTCCTTAACGAGCTGTAATCCGTTCGTCTAGTTTCGTTACTAAAAGAAAATGTATTTTCCTACTAAAGAATATTGCATAATTGTTTTTAAAACCGTAAAAGTACAGTTTATATAACAACAAACCTGGCAGCATCTACAACCGAGTCCTCTACCGGTATTGTTCTGGTAGGGCACAATCTCAGCTTATTTCTGATCAGTTCAAGGATTAGCTTTGTAATTTCACGATGTGAAGTCTACGAAAGAATTGCTTCTGAGTAATATGTTTCATACATAGAAAAGGAATTACAGAAAAGGAATCTAAACATACCTTTACACAAAACTCACGAATTGGATGTTTCAATTTGTGTTTGTTCGATGTCTTTCCTAAGAGAAAACAATCCTGGCATTGATGATATCCTGTGCATTTTAAACACGTATATCTTGGTCCCTGTACCGGTGTTACCTTACACGAGGAACATTTGATATTATGTACAACTGCAAGAAAAAATTGTTCATTATTACATTTAGATACACGCGAAACTTTAACTTTGTTACTTACTATGTTCTGCAGATTTTATTCGATTGAATGTTGTTATCCAGACTAATAATGGAGGTTCCTGCATAATCCATTCAGCAAATTCTACTTCAGTAATCCCAAGACCACTCTGAGACTAAAATGGATTGACGAAATGATTAAAGAGCTCGTTTTTAATAGATAATGTACACAAAAATAGTTCATACTTTTATAAAACAGGCATCTATATGTGACTGAATCTGTTCATGTCCATATGCTATACTTTCTCCTAGCATTTCTGTTATTTTACAGATATTTGTTAATAAAGTATGCAAACCAGCCCGAGACAAACATGCATTATGATCAGCTAATTGTTGATATAAATACCCATATTTCTCTTGTAATTTACCATTGCACAGTAATACTAATGCAACTTTTACTGAAAATACTAAAATATTTCCAGTATTTTGCCTGCAATGTTAAACACATTTTCATATTATTTGAAAATTTCCTTTTTATTGTAATTATTATTAAGAGTATATGTGTGCATATTTAAAGAAAGATACTTTGAATTAAATTACATTGAGAAATTATAAATATGCAATGACACTATATTATATGGAGAGATAAAAACTTACTTGTCAAAAGTATTCAGGATATAATTTGTGGCAAGTTTGGTCACAAAGTCAACGTTAAAATTGAAATTACTTTCTTTCTGTGCTGCAAAATAGATGTCAGATAGAACATCCTCAATTTCACTTGGATCTAAGTTGACACAATTTTCAGTGATAGAGAGTCTATGACGTTCGAATACTCCTGCTATTAATTCCAGTTGTACGTGTACCACTAAGTGAGAATAAAGGAATTTGAGAAAACCAGTGATATTTCTTTCAACAGAAGATCAGATAAGGTTGATTACTTACTATTTAATTCTCTATGTAATATCTGCATTTTTGCAGCAGTTCTATATGATGGATAACGAATAGCGTTACACTCTTGCATGGACCGCATGATACTCTCCATGATAGAATATTATCACTCTGAATTGTTCGATACTTAACTATAGATAGTTTTCAAGTGCAAAATTTGAATCTTTGTCAATATAATAGTTTAGAAAATCATTTATCATTAAGTTTACATGAAATCATTGGATATATATCTTAATTTTATCAGTAAAGTAGAAAAACAAAATAAAATTGTAATACTCTTGAGTATACTTTTTATGTCCCTGTTTATCAACATCCATTTATACAATCTATTATTTATAAATAAATAAATATATATATATATATATATATACAGCATTACATAAAATAATGTTAATAATGCTAATACAATTAATTGTATTAAAAAATATTACACTTGTTAGCATTAATTGTTAAAAAAGATATAGCATTCAATGTTCTACTCGTGGAGTAAATAGCCCAGAAAATGAGTTTTTAATTACAATTATATAATGTACATAAATAATAATTTAATATTTTCCGTATTTATGGTAAATTAAAAAGCATGATCGATTCGACGACATTAGTTCGAAGAGACATAAAAATGCATCAACATAAAGTTGAAACAAATTATAAGTGTGTCAGAGGACAGTATTTTTACAAGAATTATCGAAAAATGCTTACTCTCTGTCATCTCGACATAATTTTGTAGTTTAAATATTGATGTAAACAAAAGAAACGATCTTTCACTGTGTCAACCACGAAACGTAAAATGTATAGAGGACACAAAAGTAGGAAAACATAAAGAGTCACTAGCAGTCGATTAAAAACCGAACCTAATGTGACGCGCGCGCGAATGGACTAACGATACTCCATTCTAATAATTATTCATTATTACAGAATCGCGAACAAATCTGTAATTGCATAAGATTGAGTTGTTCAAAGAATTTTCTTAGATAAGATTAGACACATCGTAAATAAGACATTCGTATCGCGGTTTTAATAGTACGCTTCAAAAGAGAAAATTATATTACGCGCGAGCGAGTCGACAATAGTGTAATATACTGCAAGATGTGAACACGTGTTGTAACAAGACATAAAGTTTAGGAGTAATAAATAAGCTATTAGAATAAGTTATTGGAAGACATCCAGTCATGTCAGAAAAATTCGAGGACGGACAATTCAGCGACGTTGAGGAGGACACACTGCCTTGGGCGTAAGTTCCATGTGTTTTGTGTTTATATTATTAATTCTTAAAAGAGAGAGAGAGAGAGAGAGAGAATAAGATAATGAGAAAGAGAGAATGACAAAAGAATTTAATTAAACTACGAATCTAGGATTAAGAATATTCAAATTGTTTGCAAATTTGTTGTATTCATTTTTATAAAAAAAGGTTATTTATTTATATTATATCATTTTGCACAGGCAAAACAAATTCAAAGGAAAACCTTTATCTAATGGATATCCCAAGGAGCAACTCGAAGCAGAAGTGGCCAAACTGTATATTACAGACAGTAAAGAGAATAATGGAGACAATATCGATGATGATTATTATTGTAACAATGATTACGATTTAGATGAAAAGAAGAATACTGTCATAAAAATAAGTTCGCAGAAATCCAACACTCAAACTGAATCTACGAGGGTAATAAATTATCAACCTAAACACAAGCTGTTATCTCGTTATGCCAATAAAATTAATTTAGAGAAATATGCGGGTCCGTCATTACCAGGCTATGTAGCCAATGTACTGATTGAAAGCGACAAACGAGTCGATAGAGATCGTATAAGGATGAAAGACAAAAGTGATCATGCGACGATTGAGAATGTATTGGATTCGCGCATCAAAAACAAACTGCACAAGCTATTTGAGAAAGGAATACTGGCAGAGATAAATGGTTGTATCTCGACTGGGAAAGAGGCCAATGTCTATTATGCCAAGTCAAAGAATAAAGACGAGATCGCTATCAAAATATATAGAACATCCATTTTGACATTTAGAAATCGGGAAAAGTATATCAGGGGTGAATATCGTTTTGATCATGTGCGTTCCCTAAGCAATCCACGCAAAATGGTGAAAGTCTGGGCGGAGAAGGAATTTTCTAATTTAAAGCGTCTAGAACAAGGAGGCGTCCGAGCACCGCGGCCGATTTTATCCGGTGGTCATCTGTTGTTGATGGAGTTCCTGGGATCGGATGGCTGGGCGGCACCCAAACTTAAGGACGCTATACTTACAGATTCAAAGTCGAGGACATTGTACCGGGAGTGTATTGAAATTATGTGGAAGATGTACAACAAATGCAGGCTTGTTCATGCTGACCTAAGCGAATATAACATGCTGTACCATAACGGATCGATCGTAGTCATTGATGTTTCACAGGCTGTAGATCGTGATCATTGTAACGCGATGGAATTCCTTAGGAATGACTGTAGCAATATTACAAGTGTGACAAAGAAATATTTTATCACTTGAAGTTAAAAAAGTAGATATATTTGAAATATATATTTTTTTCAGCATTTTTCAAAAAGTACAACGTGGGAGTTATGACGCTCCAAGCATTGTTTGACTTTATAACAGATCCAACTATAAACGAAAATAACATGGACGAATATCTGGATATACGGATGCAGGAGGGAAATGAAGAAAAAGATCCACAGCAACAAGAAGTAGAGGAAGCAGTTTTTAAGCAAGCTTACATACCTCAAAGATTGACACAGGTATCGATGATTATTGCAAATGTATACAATGCATGATCTTTATTCCATTTTGTATTTTTTTGATAGGTGATTAATGTGGAACGCGATATAAATCTCGCGAAATCTGGAAAAGATTTGATTTACAAGACATTGATAGGCTTGAAAGCGGACTTATCGAAGCCTGCAGAAAAACCGGAGATCCTTACTAATAAACACAAGACAGATAGCAAAAGTACGAAGGAAGGGAGCGATAGTTGTACCTCTTCCGAGGAGAGTGACGATTCAGATAGCGAAAACGAAAGTGAAACAGACAGCGAGGATAATAAGAACAAATTTGTAAGCTCGGCTAGGCCTAGAAACGAAAGTCCCGAAAGTAGAAAAGTAAGTGTATTATTTATTTTTCTGCGTAATTATATATTTATTCATTTCAAGTGTAATTAATCTCCATATTTCAATTTTAGGCGCGCAAGAAGGCAGTCAAAGAACAGCAGGCGGAAAAGCGGAAAGTCAAGATAAAAAAGCACGTGAAGAAACGTAAAATAAAAGTATCGAGAGGAGGGAAATGAATATTTGTATTTAAAAAAAAAAAGAGAGAAAATTATGTAACATTATGCATTGATAATTATTAGCTTACTTAAACCCTTAAGTTTTAAGAAAAAAAAATACAGCAGGACGCAATTTAAAAAATGTTCAAGCATAATTTAATTTTAGTAGAAAATACGTGCATTATATTCTTTTTTTTTATTATCTAGTACTTTTTTCTTCTAACGTATTTCTTGTCATTGACAAAAGACGGCGCTACAGTCGCGAGGAAAATAACGAGTACCATCTGATCGAATTTACCAGAGCACGTTTGAGAACATTGAAATTCAAACCGATTATCCGAGATGTCAATTGTCAAATAATTGTAAACAATGTAAAAGTGATACATACAATATATCAAACTGTATTGGGAAATCATCTTCGAGATAGATCTGCTAGATCTGTTATCTAAGAAAAGAAAAAGTAGGTGAATCAGAGTAGCATTTTGACATTTGCAACTGCACGTATATTTATATACACTATGATAATTATCTGTGTGATTGCACGTTAATGCTGGATGCAGTGATAGATGCAGCCTCTATTAAAGATAGGTTTTTGACAACCGGTTGTTCGAGACTGGATGCAAAACTCGGGGGTGGCATACCTTGCAGGGGTATCACGCAGCTTTATGGTGCTGCCGGTACTGGAAAGACACAGTTGGCTCTGCAGTTGTGTCTCACCGTCCAACTGCCGATAACTACTGGCGGTCTCGGAGCTGGTAACATTCAAAAAGTTTAAGAAAACTGCATGATGACCTTCACAAGTTTCAGAATAAACAAAAGACTCCAACACTCTGCAACTCTAAAATACAATACTTTTATATTTCTTTATACGAATATTATCCTTGTAAAGCACTTGATATATTTAAAAAATTAGATAATTTAATATGAACAAATTTGTGAATAATAAATTTCTACTGTTACATTTTTAATCTTTTCTCTTTTTCTTTTATCTGGAATCCTTTTCAAATATTTTATGCTATTATGAAATGTTTATGGTGAAATTACTGATGTTAATAGGTGCCATATACATTTGTACAGAAACTACTTTTCCTTCAAAACGGTTGCAACAATTGCTGACGAAATCAGAGATAGCCAAAACTCATTCTGTGAATGGGGATGTGATACTTGTGGGCCATATAGCTACTAGTGTAATTAAGATATTATATTATCTATTAATTAAGGAATAAAGCAATGTAAAGAAATTATATATCGCTAACTGTACATCGCTAACTGTACATCGCTGATGAATGTTAAAGGAAGAGTTGGTATTGTGCCTACAACGCAGAGTTCCAGTGCTGATGAATACTCGTAAAATAGGATTGTTAATTATCGATTCGATAGCTGCCCCTTATAGAGTAGAGGATTGGAATGATGAGCTACAATGTAGAACTAAGAGGAGCATCGGAAGGCAATTACATAAACTTTGTAAAAATGATGATTTGTGCGTGATCTGCATTAACCAGGTAAACATATTTTAAATAAATGCATTGTTATATTGCGTGCTGATATATCTATATTTTCCAGGTTTCTGCAGTTATAGATGGTCATAGACTTATTTCTGAAGGTGCGAATGAGCAGCCAGCTTTAGGATTAGCATGGTCGAGTATGATAACCACCTCTATATATTTCTACAGAAGACTGTCCTCGCGATACGCTTGCGTAATGCTTGCTTCACATTTGCCGAGAATTACTTTTCAGTTTGAGGTGGAAGAATCTGGTGTCAAGGCAACTGAATAAAAATTGTGTTATACAAAACAAAAACATCTTTATTCTACAAGTTTGTATATATCGCGAAATATATTTTCGTCCAAGATTTTCGTTACATTTGTCGCTTTATAATCAGACAATATAGTAGCATCAAACGGATCCGTTGTTCTCACATCTATATTTTCGATATCACAGTTTAATATTAACCTTGAAAGTAAATATAATATTAATAAAAAATAATTATGTGTATCCCAAATGGTGATATGTTAATTGTACCTGAGAGAATGGAGATAGGTTCTGTGAGGTTCTATATCTTTGCCTTCGCTATATGTGTAATCTCCTATGACTGTATGACCAATGTAATGACAATGTACTCTCAACTGGTGTCTTCTACCTGTACCAGGAGCTAGTAAGATTTTAGTGGCAGGTTTCCCTTTCCAAAACCCACGTTCCAATACAACCAGTGTTGTATAAGATCTGCGTGGCTTGTCGCAAAAGATACTGTCACTTATGCACATCTTGTGATTACCAGTCTTTTCTCGAATATCAGCACCTAGATCAAGAAAGAAACCAAGATGAGACTTTATCAAACTGGTTGTTACTATATATTTAGCATTTTCCAGCAAGGGCACACATTTGCCAATGTTAAATAAGGATAAAATGATTCATTGTGATATACTAGGTCTGTTTTTTATTAAATTAATATACACTTTGGAACTTGAAGTGAGTTAGGTATGTTTAATATTTGGCAAAGTGATGAGATTTCTAATGCAAGAACAAAAAACAGATCTATATAAGGTCTTTGCTGGAAACGCCCATTGTTGCATTATTATAATTCCTAACCAATAGGCTTGTCGATTACAATGTGAGGTTCGTGTATATGACCATGTACCAATGCTAAATAAAATTTTTGCACTTTATGATTTTCGAAAGCGGACGACGCTGCTCTGGCCGCCCTTTTATTCAACGCTATGCACATGACGCCGCTCGTGGGATAATCTAACCGATGCACAAAGTGAAATTCATGGCACAATCGTGGATTAACCAAGTCCGGCAGCATCTGTCGCAATTCCATTTGAAGAGTATTCTGAAAACATTAATACCTGATTTACGGACACGTTAATTGCAAGCACGTGAATGAGAATGTCCTCACCTTTCGATCAGGATTATTGCTATTTATGTACATATCGTAAGGCTTATCGATTATTAAAAAGTTTTCGCTGCGATGCATAATCTTGACGGATTGCTTCTCGTACCAATTGTTCAACAGTCTCTTTGTGTACGAATGTATCAAACGAATTATCGTGTACATGACATTGCAGACGATCAGGGTACACGTGTGTAAGAATTTGTTAACGTTTACTCTAACCATTGTAGAGCAAGATGTTTACCTCGACTCCGAACGATGTTCTCACGTTGCGGCCATTTTCAGTTGTTTACACACGCGGAGGGAAACGTTATATATATACATCATACATGCACGTAGCATTCGACATATATGTTGTATTCATTCATGCATACATACAAAGTGTTCCGAATTTTTGCGAATCAAAATATCACAGCAAGAAAATTTTTCGGAAAATTAAATAAAAAAATTGTATATATATTTTTATTTCAAACAATATAATTTTTGAGAGGAAACGATTTAAATATAATTAATTATAGATTATACGGCCATTTGTTTATGAATTTTGCATGCAATAGTATTAATAATAAATGCATCCTTCACCATAGTAAACATAGTAATCTGTAATATATACGTAGTAATTGGCCTTTGAAAATTTAATTCTTACTGTGGTATTTTGATTTATGAATTTTGAGACACCCTGTATAAAATGTGTATTTATAATCTTATATTTTCATACATCTATTTTATGATAGCCTTTCAACACAACACACACGTGACACGGTGTGACACCATGCATCATTACGTCCTTGTTGTTCGCTAATGTTAAACAAGGCTGAGATGATCACTATGTTATACTGAGTCGCTTGTTGGAAGGCACCCAATAATTTTATGAATCATGCATATGCAAACTATGCGGACTTTCATATGACGTGAGTCTGCGCGATGTGTAACATAAGGATGTGAGAATGTACAAAGATGCGTGAGAGTACATAAGAGAGAAAACGAGAACGGACGTACCTTTGTCTCTTTTCAATTAAGAGACTTGAGAGGTTTTTGTTTTCCCTCTTCAAGTTATATGTTTCTTTTATAATTCTTAAATTCTTTTCTGCTTTTAACTATTTTGTTTCCCCTAATTTTTTAAATTTTAATCAATTATTCAACATAATCATAGTAAATATACATATATGTTATATGAAAAACTCATTGCAAAGTAAAAATATAATATCTATTAAGCCGTATGAAACAATGGCAAATCTTAACTTATTATTGGAAGTAAGTAATATAGATGATGCATTTCCTAATATGTTAGAATGTCTAAAATCGACGCATAATACAACTTTTAAGATATCTTTATAAATTCAATTTTGAAGAAACGTCTTTAAGATATTTCATGCACAGATCTTTTTTAGATATTTTGCACACTGGATTGTGATGATAATATAATACTTCTTTAATATCGATATAAAGCTATATCCGAAATTCGCTGTCAGCGCTGAAGATCTATATATAGCTTACGTTAACTGCACTATAAATTTTCAGCGCTGACAGTAAAATTTGGAACACAGTGATAATCGGCCACTAGCAAATAATGCGGGAAATTGCGTTTTCTGATAATTGAAATAAGGAATTATCATGCGGATAATCGATGGAGACGTAGGAGATTTGTATATAGAACGGCATATACATTCTAATTTACATAGATGACACAAAGCTTGTGCCGACGAGATACGTATCTAGAGAGGAATCGAGTGCCATACACAAAAAGATTCTCTCTCGGCATGTATTCGCTCAAGGAGATTGCATTCATCGTCTCTGCTCGACGTAAAATATAATCGAGTGATCGAGCGAATGAAAGGATTTTTCATCTCGTTATTACATCATATTTTATTTACTTTAACCCTTCTATCAGAAGTGATTCTGTCACAAAGATATAATCTAAACGCGTAGAGATAATAATATAAATCTACACAAGGCTAAATCTCGATTGTCAAATTACGTCGTTGAAATTATTTAAGTATTATTATATCTCGGAAATAAAATCGCATTAATTATAAAACAAATTTAAAGTATATTAAATTCATGAATGCAAGGAAAGCACTTTTTTTTTATCGTTCTTCATTGAAAAATTAAATTAACGTCATCCTGGTTAGAGTAATCGGAATAAGATAAATTTCGGTTAATCGACGTTAAAAACGATCAATTAAATTAATGAGTTAGAGAGGTTATTTTAAATTACCTCGCGCACTTGTTTGGTACTTCGCGTGCAAATGTATGCACGTGCAACGAAAATTTGTGCAATCCGAGCATTCGTACCGAATGCAGGTGACGGTAGCGGTGGCACGCTAGATGAGACGGGGATACGTTATGCAAGTTTGCAGCACAGAGAAGTCTATTGCGTCAGAGTGGATCGTCAGTTCTACGTGCAGACAGAGAAGTCGCGATGTTTAGGCTTTTTACTTTTTATAATTGGAGAACATACATTTCACGCGCTTGTTATTACCACTGGCATTTAAACGCGTCAACCACGAGGAGCAGAGGTCGGCTAATTTTTTTCCGTAAAGGGCCAGATATAAACATTTTAAGCTTTGCAAATCAAATCATTTTCTATAAATTTTTTATTCAATTCAAAATATCTGATAATATAATAATAATAATAATAATAATAATAATAATAAGAAGAATAATAGAATATAGTAGATAGACAATAATACACATATAAATAGTAATAACATCACTATAATTTAACGACTCTTGCGCTAAAGTGTGGATTTTCTGATCATTTCACTTGGCAGAGGAAAAATTAATAAAATAAATTGAGAATGATGTGGTTACGTACACCATGACAAATTACAAGCACGAGGAACACGGCGGTCTGCGCTACGTGTTCTGAGTCTTATATCTACACATATACATGATGTAGGCAGTTTCCTCAGTTTTACATCGTAAAGTTTAAGAAAAGATACTGCTAAGCATACATTTTTACGTTCTTTCGCGTAGCATAGATCGGAGCGATATATCAAGGACCACGTCAAAGGTACTACGTGAGACGATTTAGAGGCGCTCCAGATGATTACGAGTTAACGATTTGCGGTGCAACTCTGACGGGAGTTTCGATCGGCGAGATATAGAGCGCGAATCTTCTCGTGAGCATACGCTTACGTATACGCCGATCCGATTCTTTTCCATCGATCCCGTGCAGCATCTTGTGACACACTTGCGTCGAACGTTGCTGTAAATCTTGCCGATTGCACCAAACTATGATCTAGAAACGCGGATGAGCCCCGGGATATATAAAGAGCGGAGCAGACCTGATGTTTGTCATTCCCTCGAGAAATCCATCCTGCGCTGAAAGGGTAGCAACAAGAGACAGGGAGAGCGTCTCCCCCGGAGGGATAGCTAGAGTAACAGAAATTCGATTTCTTTTTTGTCACTGGAGAGCATTATGGGAATCGTCAATATGCTTAAGGTGAGAAAAAATAATATCTATCCGTCACACGAAACATGAAACTAATGGATGTATCTTCGAATATATCGAAATTTAGAAATCACTTTGTTGAGAAGAAGTTGATCATGTATTCATGAGAAAGTATATTTATTTTCGACATCAATAAATATTGTGCTTAAATCATAAATATAATGTGTTTCTTAGATATATTTTTTGACAACATTATATTAAGATTTTATCTCGACGAAAATTTATATAGCATGGAGAAATTATGTAATAGTTACAATCATACAATTAATTATTTAATCTGATGTTGATGATGGGATTAGATACAGAGAGAATTGTTTAACATTTTGACGCGAAATTAACATTATTCAAATAATTTTGTTATTTATAATAGATACTTTATGGTTTATAAAATTCTTGTCACAGATCAGTGGAACGTTTATTGCGATGTTAGCCGTGGTACGTTCGGAACCTCCGGTTAATTCGTATCTACCTCCAGGATCGGGCACCTCTGGTGCGAACGGCGGTCGAGCCGACCTGTCCACCCAGTACGGAGCGCCGGATTTCAATAACAGGGGAAATGTTAATGGAAACAGTGGCGCAACAAGTTTCGGAGGGTCCGGCGCAGGTAATGGTCCGTCAAAACTTTACGATGTACCCATCAGAGGAAACGCTGGCGGAAATGGTTTAGGTCAGTTTCGAGGAAATGGATTTGAGGGTGGACAACCTTCTAGCTCTTACGGCGCTCCTAACGGTGGTTTTGGTGAAAACCGAAACAATGGAGGAAGACCGTCGACTAGCTATGGCGTTCCCGACTCAAGTGGGAATAACAGGGGTGGTTTCGGAAATGGAGGTAGCGAAGGAAGACCATCCACTAGTTACGGACTTCCTGGTGCAAGTAGGAACAACGGCGGTGGTTTTGGAAATGTAGGCAACGAAGACAAACCGTCGACTAATTACGGCATTCCCGGCGCAAATGGAAATAAAGAGGGTGGTTTCGGAAATGTAGGTAACGAAGGAAGACCGTCAACTAATTACGGTGTTCCCGGTGCGAATGGGAATCAAGGTGGTTTTGGAAGCGGAGGTAACGGAGGGAGGCCATCGACTAGCTATGGTGTTCCTGGCGCGAATGGGAACAACGGTGGTGGTTTCGGAAACGTAGGAAGACCATCGACTAGCTACGGTATTCCCGATGCGAGGGGTAACAACGGGGGTGGTTTCAAAAACGGAGATATCGGAGGAAGACCGTCGACTAATTATGGCGTTCCCGGAACGAACGGAAACCACGGGGGCGGAAACGGTGGCAACGGAAGGCCCTCGAGTAATTACGGCGTACCTGGAGCAAATGGAAATACGAATGGTAAAGATCGCTTGAATGGAAATAGTGGCGGAGGACCGTCGAATAACTATGGATCTCCGGTGAATGGATTCGGTAAAGGATTATCAACCAGTTACGGTCCACCTAATAGAGGTAGAAATGATAATCATTATCCATCGGCAGACTCAAATAGAGGAAGTTTTGTAAACGGTGGAATTAATGGCTATCCATCTGGAAATCCAAATGGAAATGCAGGGAATTTCGGGCACGGCGATGAAAGTTTTGGCAGAGGGGGAGAAGGTGGAGGAGGAAGTACTGGCGAGGGTTACAACGCCAACGCGCAAGAAGAAAGTACTGTAAGTACAGCATATAAGTCTCATAAAAATAATTGAGCTAGAAGCGAATGAGACAATTATCAAAGATGAATTGTAGAAACATTTTCTTCAGAAATATTTACCAGATTTTCTGATATTTGTCAGACTACATACTTACATATTTACTTTTAGTATAGACTTGAAAATTATCTCACGTTATCTCATT